TGGGTCTCCTCAGGGTGCCGTCAGCCAGACAGTGCCGGCTGGCGACCCCCAGGGGGAGGGCCTTCTCGGTGGGAGCTCCCACCCTATGGAATGAACTACCCCCAGAGATCAGGGTGATCCCTGATCTCCCTTCCTTCCGCCGCGCCCTTAAGACATGGCTATTTCAGCTAGCAGGACTGGCCTAGGGGAAATTTTTAGCGGGGTTTTAAAATAATTTTAAATCAACATAGGCCAATTATTAATATTTGCTTTTAATTATGTTTTTAACTATAATATTGTGATATTTTTGTATTTGTTTTATCAGGCTGTTAGCCGCCCTGAGTCCGTAAGGAGAAGGGCGGGATATAAATATAATAAACTAACTAACTAACTAACTATTGGATAAAGGAGCTCAAATTCTTGTCAATAAAATGAAAATTCGGAAAATAATGCCAAAATAGAATTCTTTATTGGCCAAGTGTGGTCAATAAGATCTCAGTGTACATACAAGCAATAGTGATAAGTCATGATCAACATAAAATACATTCATCATAAATCATAAGATACAACACATTCATCATAAATCATGTTGTTGTTGTTAGTTGCGAAGTTGTGTCCGACCCATTGCGACCCCATGGACAATGATCCTCCAGGTCTTCCTGTCCTCTACCATCTTCTGGAGTCCATTTAAGCTACTGCTTCAGTGATTCCATCCAGCCACCTCATTCTCTGTCGTCCCCTTCTTCTCTTACCCTCAATCTTTCCCAGCATTAGGCTCTTCTCCAGTGAATCCTTCCTTCTCATTAGGTGGCCAAAGAATTAGAGTTTCAACTTCAGGATCTGGCCTTCTAAAGAGCAGTCAGGGTTGATCTCCTCTAGGACTGACCGGTTTGATCGCCTTGCAGTCCAGGAGACTCGTAGGAGTCTTCCCCAGCATTATAGTTCAAAGGCCTCAATTCTTTGGCACTCAGCCTTTCTTATGGTCCAACTTTCACAGCCATACATTGCAACTGGGAAAACCATGGCCTTGACTATACGTACTTTTGTTGGCAGGGTGATGTCTCTGCTTTTTAGTATGCTGTCTAGATTTGCCATAGCTTTCCTTCCCAGGAGCAAGCGTCTTTTAATTTCTTGGCCGCAGTGCCCATCTGCGGTGATCTGGGAGCCCAGGAAAATAAAATCTGTCATTACCTCCATTTCTTCCCCATCTGTTTGCCAGGAATTGAGAGGGCCGGATGCCATGATCTTGGTTTTCTTAATGTTGAGTTTCAAGCCAACTTTTGCACTCTCCTTCTTCACCCGCATCAAGAAGCTCTTTAGTTCCTCTTCACTTTCTGCCATTAGAGTGGTATCATCTGCATATCTTAGATTGTTGATATTTCTCCCGGCATAAATAAATCATAAGTCATAAATCATAAGATGTCATAAATCATAAGATGTCGTGAATCGAAAGGAGCAAAAATAGGACAGGTGGTTAGTTGTGATGCTTGAGAAATTGTGGTGGGATTTAGTGAGGAGGTAGGTTTCCCAGGTGGGAGGGGGTGCGTTCCAGAGGAGTAACTCAGCCCAGCTATTATGTGTGAGAGAAAGAGGGTGAAGACAGCCCCTCCCCAATAGTTCACATACTGTAGATGCAGATCAGTAGAATGCTCAAGTCTGGCAAGATTCTGTCTATAGGCATGAAAAGAACTCAGCTTGGAAGAATTGCCATGTGCCATTCGTGGTTTTTGGGCCTGACAGAAATGTTACGTTTGTCCAGTGCGATGAAATGCGTATCTCCCAGGCTGGCGTATTGACACGTTTGTCCTCCTGCAGGTTCAAATGGGGAACAAGAACTTCTGGCTCGGTCGTGTGCAATATGACACAGAGAGTCAGCTCACTTTCCCCCTGGAGGCCCAGATTGGCTTGGGAGTGGGGACC